GCCTCGTCTCCGATCGGGATGTGTGGACAATAGTCGTAATTCATAGTCACAGCGGTTTGGAAAACATATGGTAAACCAATGGATAAAATGTTTACCTGATTATCTATTTGTGTGTATAAAGTTTTTTTTCTTTTTTTTTTGGGTGGGGGGGGTGGGGAATATTGTCATCTTTTCTGGTGTACAAAGGGATTTAAAATGCAATGTCAAAAAGAATTTGAGTTTTAGTTTACTGGAAATGTAATGTAATGTGTGTTTATATTTATGAGTTTTGGTAGTTATTACATCTTTTTAGTTATGTTCTTTCTTAGAAGTTTTGACCAGAGCATTGCTTTGTGACAATTGTGATTCATCTTGATTGGGAACATTTTGGCATGGGTTGAGAGGTAGCTTTTGTGTTATGATTCTTTGTGTCCTACAAATGAAAATCTTGAAACAATGTATCGTACTGATTTTTTTTAAACAAACTTGACTTTAATGGTTTCCCTACACCTAACTTGCAATGCTGGTCCAAACATTTTGTAGGCTCTGGACAAAAATAAAAAAGGGCCCATAAACCTACAATATGCACAAGAACATTTATGTTTTTATGTGATTTTTTTTCTCCTTTTCGATTGGGTATTTGAAGGTTTTTAAATCATTTGAAAAAGTATTTTTCTTTGTCGGACAATAAGTTCGTCATACATAAAAAAAAAAAAAGTTACACCATAATACTTGGTCAATTGGTCATAAAGAAAAGAACATTGTCATATGGTAAAAAGTACTAATCTCTCTGTTAGTTCGCGTGATCGTCCTTACCCGCCTCCACAATAAGGTATAAATAAACTATATTCTTCATCCTTAAAATTATTTTATGTGCGAGTAACATTTTCTTTCTCTTCCTTCACACAAAAAGAAAAAGCAAACTAGCAATCCAAGCAAACAAAACACGTAGCAACGAAAAATAAACAAGCCACCTAATAGATGAGTATCTGCTTTGTTCTCTTCTTTTCTGCTTCTTATTTTTTTTCTGCATCTTCGTCTTATTCCTCTACCTCTGTTAGTTATGGTGTTCAAGTTCTGAATCACCTAGGAGTAATCCATTGGGATAAATCCTAAACTCAATCGAGCAATACTTGACGTTTAAATTGTCAAAGCACGGGACTTTGACAATGCAATTTTCTAAGCAAAAGCCTTGCATATTTGGAAGAGAAAGTTCCAATTTTTGCAGCTGCCTAAAAGTGATCTAATTTTTTGAATAATCTTCGCACTTGCCAAATTAAATTGGTAAAGACATACATGCATTATTTTGTTGAAGGTTAAAGTTGAATTGGAATGAATATCAAAAACCTATGCCGTTAGTTAACCTTCTTGATGAATTAACTAAATTTTAGTAGTTATAATCAAAGGTAAAAGAAATTAACAATCAAACAAAAATTAGTAAAAAAATTGGAACGAAAAAGGCATAAAGACCAGCTCGAACACGGGACCTCGATTATTAGTCTTTAGATTCATGTAATGGAACTAAATTAGTTGTTACTCTATTATTCAGTAAGATTATTGATCACACCTCTTATGCAAAATCATTAAAACTTACATGCATTCTAACTTAAATTATGCCTTTCTCACAAACATACTTGATCAGAATTCCGGTTGTACTTTTTACACTGCACAAACTTTTTTCTTTTGAAAGCATGAACTATTTGTTGTGATAGGAAGGAAGGTAGGTACAAAGTGATCAAATTGCTGAAAAAAGGTCCTCTCCGACGGATAGAAAATTAGATTCCTTTCCACCAATAAAAGTTATAAAACGCGGTGATAGGAAGGAAGGTCGGTAAAAAGTGATCAAATTGCTGAAAAAAGGTACTCTCCGACGGATAGATAGCCAGATTTCTTTCCAACAATAAAACGCAAAGTAAACATACTTTATTAATTTTTTTTTGGATAAATATCAGTTTACTACATTTAAGTTTTGTGGTTTTCAATATTTGGTACATGAAGTTTTTTTCGTCCCAAAGTTATACCTAAAGTAGTTAATTTTGGAACAATCTCATACATCCGCTAGTCTGGCTATTAAGTCTTCCATTAATTGATGATGTGGCGCCTATATAAACAATAACTGAGCATCACGTGTCATTAAGAAGGTCCACATGGAAATTAACAATTAAAAAAAAAAAAACACACCCGTCTTCTACCTCAACCCAACCCCTTCCCTGTTGGAATTTATTAGGTTTATTTAGGAAATTAATTAAGATCTGATTTGATTTTGTAGTAGGGTATTTTTGGCATTTAAGCATTAGGGTTTCTTAGGTTTATTGTTCTATAAATAGAGCTTGTAATTTAGTTTGAGAATAAAAAAGTTAGTCACAATGTAGTCTCTAGGGTTTTTGTAGCCGTCTCGGCATTCTCAGTTTGTTCAATAAAATTCTTATTATTTGTTAGTGTTGTTCGTTGCGCACTCTGATATTCAACTTGGTATCAGAGCAGGTTTGATCCTTTGGGATTTAATCTGCCCTTGATTCGTATCAGTTTGTTTGTTCGTCTTGTTCGTTGTTTAGATTGTCGTTGGTCTAGTTTGTTTTAAAAAAAAAAAAAAAAAAAAAAAAGGTGGAATCTGCCATCACCTCCGCTGCGCCTACCCCATCTGGATCTGCAGAACCATCCACCCACCATGTGATTGAACTCGCACGGTACCTGGACTCGATTCCTATGAGTTGGATCTGTCGCAACTCGTATGGAGTTCTTCTGCAATTGCATTGGAGTTGTTCTGTTGGCTGCAATCCATTTTCTTTCCCTTGACTTGGTTGCTGCATGAAGAAAGCAGAAGTAAAAAAAAAAAAGGGTTAGGTTTTTTAGGCCCATGCGGGCCAAAGAGAGAAAAAAAAAATTGTTGGATTTTTTTTTTGTTTGTTTGTTTGGCATCGGCATCGACATTTGCACTGGCACTAGCATTGGAATCTTGCACTGGCACTGACATGGAAATCTTGCACTGGCACTGGCATTGGAATCTTGCATTGGCATTGGCACTGGCACTGGCATTGGAATCTTGCACTTGCACCGGTGAAATTTCATATTGAAATTGGCATCGGAAATTAGCATAATGAAGTCTTGCAACCGCATTTGCTTGTTGGCAACCTCATGTCGTATACCGCCATGAGTTTGACGGGGGATGTTGGAATTTATTAGGTTTATTTAGGAAATTAATTAAGATTTGATTTGATTTCGTAGTAGGGTATTTTTGGCATTTAAGCATTAGGGTTTCTTAGGTTTATTGCTCTATAAATAGAACTTGTAATTTAGTTTGAGAATAAAAAAGTTAGTCACAATGTAGTCTCTAGGGTTTTTGTAGCCGTCTCGGCATTTTCAGTTTGTTCAATAAAATTCTTATTATTTGTTAGTCTTGTTTGCGCACTCTGATATTCAACTTTCCCACCCTCCCCCCTCCCTTCCTTCCTTCCTCTGCAACCCGTACCCTCCCTCCTTTCCTCTGCAACCCCCACCCATCATCCCTCCCTTCTCTCCTCGGACAACTACAAAAATGCAGATGTTCTCATCTTCAATACAGGTCGCTGGTGGACACATGAGAAAACTTCCAGCAGGTAATTCTCTTCCTCCATGCACCCCAGTCCCCACCTTGGCCTGGTTCAAACCCTTCGTCTCTCTCTCCTCCATACGCAACTTGTCTCCGGTCTCTTTGACCCACTCGAGTTCGGAATCGACCACATCAATGTCGACGAGGTTGTATTCGTTGTAGAGAGCTAAGATATCGCAACGGAGCTAAGCGGCCTTGGCGAGATCGAGGCGCTCGTGGTCGTCGGAGGCGAGGGATCCAAGCTTACTGGAGAGGCGGAGCGCTCTGATGGAGTTGGTGGAAAAGATCAGAGGAGGCATGGAGATTTTGGAGCTAGATGGTGAGGGTGAGGATGGAGGTGAGGGCGTCGGAGAGCTCGGATCGGGTATGGCGAATGGAGGACTGGAGGGCAGAAACAGAGGATCGGACGGTGGAGAGGGCAGAGAGCTGGGCGTGGTGGAGGGAAGAGAGCTGGGCGTGGTGGAGGGAAGAGAGCTGGGCGAGGAGGTCGGAGTGGCAGGTGAGGACCTCGGAACGGAGAGAAGGGAGGGAGGGGGTTGGGGGAGGTAGAAGACATGTGGTTCTTTTTTTTTTTTTTTAATTTTTAATTTCCACGTGCACTCTCTTAATGAAATGTGGCGTCCAGTCATTGTTTATATGGATGCCATATCATTAGTTAATAGGAAACTTAATAGCTAGACTAACGGATGTACGAGACTGTTCCAAAATTAACACTTTATGTATGATTCTGAGACAAAAAAAACTTCATGTACTAAATATTAAAAACCACGAAACTTGAGAGTAATAAACTGAGATTTACCTTATTTTTTTATACAATATAAATATGTTGATGTCAAAATTCATTGCAAGTTAGTAATTAATTTTTTTCCTTGCCTAGGCTGTTTTCTTGGCAATGAGAGTACTGCTGGGAAATTTTTTATGTTTCAATGAACAACTTTTGTCATATTTTATTAATGTAAATGAAACAATATTCCTTAATATTTTTGTGATGTAAATAACCCCAACGTTTCATAATTTTTTGTATATCTCCATCTAATCTTTTTTTGCATGTAGATAGAAAAAATCTATGATCTTCTGTATGTAGACTGTATAATCTTTTGTATGTAAAAATCTTCATAACATTTTCAATATAAATAGTATTAAATGACATAAGTTTATATATATATATATATATATATATCTTTCAACATAATTTTTCATACAATTTTTAGTCCTACTGCAATGTGCATGCACCAATTTCTAGTAAATACTAAATAGAATATTTTGATCTAACCATTTAAGTGGTAATACAAGTGGGACTTGCTGTTGAGCGAGTCCAGCTAGCACTCCTCCCTTATTCTCAATTTAACTACAAATATAACAGAGTACATATATGATGTATTTAAACAAGACGATCTGAATTTCGTGCAACTCAAACAATATCAAACGCAATTTAAATCTTAATGAGTTGTTCAAGTGTGATGTCTGGTCCTCCAGTGGAAGCTGCAGTTTGGAATGATAACGACTGAGAAACCATGTGCATTGTTGGCCTTGATTGCGGTCGCAAATCCCTGCATGTGATTGCTACCCTTGCAATGGTTGTCAGTTCATCTTCAACTTCAAGTGTAGGAGGTGGAAGCCGTTGGTCCAATACATCCTTCAGCAATTTGTTTTCACACGCAGATGGAGACGAAAAGGACGAGATTAAATCACCTAGTTTTTTTCCCATGATCACTTCCAGTGCCAGCACTCCAAAGCTATAAACGTCACATTTCTCAGTTACCTTCATTGTGTAGGCCAACTCTGCATAAAAATTAAGGGAGAGCAAGGCATTAGTACATGTTTAAATTTAGGAAATTGTTATTAGCACTCCAAAAATGTCATCCTACACTCCAAACTTTCTATATTAGGAAAGGAAAATACACTTGTGATGAGTGTAGAATGAGATTTTGGAGTACCAATAATACTTCCCTAAATTTATATTATCAAATTGCAACATTATATATTTTAACTATTTTACTTTACCTGGTGCTACATATCCATATGTGCCTGCAAGGGAGCTCCAATTCGATGAGTCTGGATTCAAAAGCTTAGCGGTGCCGAAGTCAGAAACACAAGGCTCGTAGTCGTAATCCAGCAAAATGTTGCTGCTTGATAAGTCTCGGTGTACAATTGGCGGCACGCAATCATGATGAAGGTAAGACAGTGCATGAGCTACGCCTTTTACAATTCTCACCCTCCTACTCCAATCCAATTCTTTTGCTTCGTCTTCTTTGCTCAAGATTGAAGCCAGACTACCCTTTTCTAGGTATTCATAGACCAGAAAGGAGTGCTGCGAATTCGAACAAAACCCACAAAGTTTCACAATGTTTCGATGTCGTATATTGATTAGTGCACATATTTCATTGTGGAACTCCTGCGATGTCTCCTCGCCTTCAAGTTTTTGATGGAGTTTCTTCACTGCAAATATGCTGCCTGATGGTAGCTTTGCCTTGTAGACACTTCCAGATCCTCCCTTCCCAATGCAAAATATGGAGTCAAAACCATTGGTTGCTCTTATGATCTCCCAATACAATTTTTTTCCATCAAAAAGAGAGAGTGAAAAAATTTCATCATGGATATCACTCTTTTCTGTTCCCGGCTCTTTCTTTCTTCTTGTTTGATGAAGACAAATGCAAGGAGAGCAAGTAAAACTGCTCCCAAGATAGGGAAAACGATTGCAAACACGAGTTTTCTTTCGTTTTTTCTTTTTGAGACGTGCTTATTGCAGGATTCTAGACCTACAAAATTTCCACACAATCCTTCATTCCCTTCAAAGCTGTGAGCATCTTGAAATGCTTTGTTGTTGCGGATGGGACCCTGCAAGTGATTGTAGGATACGTCTATGTACGACAAGCCACGCATTCCATCAAACGTTGCCGGAATGAGACCGGAAAGATTATTGTGGGAAAGATTCAGCCGCTCCAAGCTCTGCATATTGCTAATTTCTGATGGTATCTTGCCGTCAAGTGAGTTACGACTTAAATCTAACTGTGACAGGTGAAATAAATTCCCCAACTGAAATGGAATTTCTTGACTGAAATTGTTGTTGCTCAAATTCAAGTAGTTTAAACTGATCAATTCGCCAAAAATGCTTGGAATTGAGCCATTCAACTTGTTGGTGGACACGTCAAGATATTCCAGTTCAGTGAATGCTCCAAATTCTGAGGGTATAGAACCCAAAAGTTGATTGCCATTCAACTTTAGATTCACCATAGAAGTCAATCTCCCCAAATCCTTGGGAACCACCCCAACCAGATGATTCGAAGAAAAATCAAGTTCTTGAATTTTAGTTGCATTGGCAATCTCAGATGGTATGCTACCAGTAAGGTTGTTCCCTGCAAATCGTAGGGTTGTTAAGTTTGGACACTGTCCCCAGATGTCTGAGATTTCACCATATAAGTTGTTGTGGCTTAGGTCTACAAACTGAAGATTCGGATGGACACCAAAGTCTTCAGATATATTGCTTTTAAGTTGGTTCCCTTGAAGACGGAGTCTGACTAAGCTCTTGCAACCCTTCAAGCTTTTGGGGACTGGACCTGTAAATTCGTTGTTTTCTGCGGTAAACCTTTGTAGCAGTCCACCACTACAAATATCTCGAGGCAAATAACCAGAAAATCGGTTAGCAGCCAGGTGTACTTCCTCAACAAATTTCAAGTTTCCAATCTCTTCAGGAATGGTGCCGGAAAGTTTATTACCGTAGAGAGAGAGATAAACAAGGTTTGTCAAATTGCCAAAAGAAGTTGGCATAGAACCAGAAAGGGTATTGTTGTACAACATCATGATGGTTAGATTTTTCAAGTTTCCGAAACTCAGAGGGATTGGACCTGATAAATAGTTGTCAAACAGGTCAACTTCAACCAATTTCGAAAGGTTTCCTATTTCGGGAGGAATAGAACCCGAAAGTTGGTTTCCGAAGAGAAACAAAGAAGTCAATTGGCTCAAATTACCCACAGAAGCTGGAATTGAACCCTCTAAATTGTTTAAGTTTAGAGCTAGCTCATAGACAAATTTAAGTTGGCCTATTTCTTGAGGAATTGAGCCGTTGAAATTATTTGCATTTAGGTGAAGGACCTGAATACTTGTTAAAAGACCGATTTCAGGTGGGATTTTTCCAGACATTTGATTGTAGGATACATCAAAATAGATGAGTTTGGTGAGGGAACTGATCTCAGGTGGGATTTGATCAAAAAGTTCATTGTAGCTTAGATCAACATATGCAAGATTAGGCAAGGACATGAAAGGAAATTCAAGTAGAGTACTTTGTATACCAGAATTGGTGAGGTTTAATCTGTTGACACTTCCAGCTGAGTTGCATGAAACTCCAATCCAAGTATTGCATGGGGCTTCATTTGCATTCATCCATGAGGTCAGGTCGTTTTGGGTTTGGTTTTGAAAGCTAGCTTTCCATTTGAGAAGTGCTTCTGCTTCAGTGGAATTGGCAGAAGCAAAAACACTTTTTTGTGATGAAGCTAGCTGAAGATACAAGATAAGGAAAGCTAGAAAGCATAGTTTATCACAATAAGTTGAAACTCTAGTCATGGTTTTTGTGTATACCTTTTTCTTAAGCAATTCAGGGCTTTATTTATAGTGAGATGTATTACCAATTTGCATATCCTCTATTTGTTTTTCTTATCTTTGACTTTTCATCCAAATGGTTAATTAAAAATTACAACCCGATGGTGTTTTTAAGTTTTTATTGTTAAAGTTAAAGAAAACGGGAGAAACCTTGAACTTTCTAGTGATTTTTTTAAGGGTTTTTTTTTTTTTTTTTTTTTTTTTAATATGTCAAATTTTAAGATAAAAGATACCACCATGTAAATTAAAAAGTACGATTAATTTCAGTTTACTACCTTAACATTCTTGATTTCAATATTTGGTACAACAAGTTTTTTCATCCCAGAGTGGTACATAAAGTCGTAATTACATATAGGGGTGTGATATCCACACACCTCATTTTACTTCTCACACACCTTTTTATTTTTCAACCGTCGGATTAAATGAATTGAAAAAGATCAACGGATAGAAATTATCAAAGGTGTGTGAGAAATAAAATGAGGTGTGTGGATAGCACACCCCTTACATATATCCATTAAGATTACTGTTAAATCAACTGTCAACTGGTGATGTGGCTCCTGCGTGAACAATTACTGAGGACACATGTAAATATAGCCCATGTGTATATTAAAAACTAAAAACATTAAAATTTAGAAAATTTAAAATTAAAAAAAAATTAAAAAAAATTCTAGCCTCTCCTAATCCCCTTCGGCCATCTTCCTTCTCCCCCTCGCTTTCTTACCATCCACCATCTGTTGATTATTGACTCAAACAATGTAGTCAAAGATAAAAAATTTCGGCTACTTTGTGGTAATGGGAGACAAACAACAATTGTGCCTAACTCTTTTTGACTTGATGGTAGGCCTTTGGCCATTGATGTCCTTGAAGAGCCATTTTCTTTGGCTTTAAAAGGGGAGCAAGGTGCAGCCCGTAAGTAGGAAGAAGAAAAAGAGCAAGAAGCCTTTCGGCAGAGAAAAGATTTTTTCTCAAATTGTTTTGCTTTGTATTTTTGGTTTTCTCCCTTCCTATTGCAATGTGTGTGAGCTTGGGTTATTTGGGTCTTTGGGAAATTAAGTGATAAACACTATTGTATGTTCTCATTGATTATAGTGGAATACTCCGTTGTCTCCAAACTGGATGTAGGCATTGCCGAACCAGTATAAATCTTGGTGTTCTTGTTGGTGTTGGTTTTATTCTATTCTGTTTTACTTTTTCACTTACAGTTGGATGCCGCTTCCGCACAACAAGTGGTACCAGAGCTTAGTTCTGTGAATAGTGTTGGCGCTACAGTTCAGTAAACAGTGAACTGCTACAGTATCTGTGAACAGTATTGTACCTGTGAACAATGCCGTATTTGTGAATAGTGCCGAGTAGATGGCTGGAGATAAAGATGAATCTGTAAAGAAGGGGTCAGCATCGTCTTCGTCTACATCCAATAGACATCCAACTACTACTACAAGGTTAGAGATTGATAAATTCAATGGCTCTAATAATTTTGGTATGTGGCAATGTGAAGTTATGGATGTGTTGTATCAACAAGGGTTGGATATGGTTCTGGAAGATAAACTAGAAGATATTGATGATAAGCAGGACGCGAATTAATCTTCATGCTTGTGCTGCTATTCGATCGTTCCTTGATAAGGAGTTGAAATACCCGTATATGAAGGAAACTTCTGCTAAGGAGTTATGGACGAAATTGGAGGAGAAGTATATGACTAAGAGCGCAGAAAATCGTCTCTTCTTGAAGAAGCGACTCTTCCGATTTCAGTATCGTCCAGGTATCTCTATGCACGAACACCTCAATAATTATAATAAAATACTTGCTGATTTAGCAAACCTTGATGTGAAAATTCCTGACGAGGACAAGGCATTATGTTTGTTAAATTCATTGCCTGATGATTATGATCATTTGACAACTACTCTGTTGTATGGAAAATCTGAGGTGAAACTTGATGAGGTGTCTGCGGCATTGGTGAATCATGAGTGTCGTAAGAAGGAATTGAAGACTCACAATTCACAAACCGAGGCATTTGTTGCAAGGGGTCGAACAGAGGAAAGAAAATCTGGGAAGCGGGGAAAATTTCGTTCAAAGTCACGAGGGAAGTTTCCTGCTAAAGATGAATGTGCTTTTTGTCGCCAAAAGGGTCATTGGAAGAAAGACTGCCCCAAATTGAAGAACAAAAAGAAGGAGAAAGCGGGTTCTGAAGCAAATATTGCAAAATCTGGAGATGATGATGATTTTGAGTTTGCTTTGGCTAGTTCATATGCTGATGGTCACTCAAATGAGTGGATTTTGGATTCAGGTTGCACCTATCATATGTGTCCCATTCGGGAATGGTTTTCTAATTTCGAGGAGCTGGATGGTTGAGTTGTTTTGATGGGTAATAATAATGCCTGCAAAACACAAGGGATAGGCAAAATCTGTTTGAAGATGCATGATAGAACAGTCAGAGAATTAAGTGATGTTCGGTATGTACCGGATATGAAGAAAAATCTCATCTCATTGGGTGCATTGGAATCCAAGGGTCTCAAGATCACCATGGAAGGTGGAGTTCTTAAAGCTGTGTACGGGGCACTGGTGGTGATGAAAGGTACAAGACGAAATAACTTGTATTTCTTGCAGGGGAATACATTTATTGGTGGAGCAGCTGTCACCGAAGCTGCTGACACAAATAGCACAGACACCACGAGGTTATGACATATGCGTCTTGGGCATGCTGGTGAAAAAGCGTTGCAAGGATTAGTGAAGCAAGGCTTATTGAAAGGTGCAAAGGCATGCAAATTGGAATTCTGTGAGCATTGTGTTGGGTAAGCAAACTACAGTAAAATTTGGCACTGCTATTCACCACACTAAAGGCATTCTTGATTATGTTCACACTGATGTTTGGGGACCTTCCAAGAATGCATATTGGGGAGGTAGCCATTATTTTTTCTCCTTTGTTGATGACTTCTTTAGAAGAATATGGGTGTACACCATGAAGCGTAAAGATGAAGTTTTGAAGATATTCCTGAAGTGGAAAAAGATGATTGAAACGCAAAGCGGTCGAAAGATCAAGACTCTCAGATCAGACAATGGGGGTGAATATAAGTCTGATTTTTTTCTTGAAAGTTTGTCAAGATGAGGGTATTGTGAGACACTTCACGGTTAAGGAGACACCGCAACAGAATGGAGTGGCGGAGCGCATGAACCGTACCTTGCTTGAGAAAGTCCGGTGTATGTTGTCTAATGCTGGTTTAGGCAAGGCATTTTGGGCTGAGGCAATTACTTATGCAAGCCATCTCATTAATAGATTGCCAGCTGCTGCGAACGAGGGCAAAACGCCCATGGAGGTATGGTCTGGTAAACCTTGTACTGATTACAAGTTTTTACACATATTTGGCTGTTCTGCTTACTATTATGTCAGAGAAAGCAAGTTGGATCCAAGAGCAAAGAAAGCTATATTTATGGGCTTTAGCACTGGCGTGAAGGGATATCGACTCTGGTGTCCAGATGAGAAGAAATTTGTTGTAAGCAGAGATGTGACTTTGATGAGGCTGCTATGGTTAATCAGAACAAGCATGAAGGTGAAACTGAAGCGACCGAGACCATGAGTAGCTCAAAGTAGGTGGAGTTACTGAAGACTCCAGTTGTTCCAATAAGGTCTGATGTTACAACCACTAGTCCTACAGTTAATTCTGATGATGAGGACGAGGATGATGAAGAGGAAGTACTTACCCAAGAGCCTCCACAGCAACAAGACTATATTGCAACCAGAAGATCGAGAAGGGAAATTCGAAAGCCTGCTCGATTTACTGATATTGTGGTATATGCACTTCCTGTTATTGAAGATGATATTCCATCCGCCTACAAAGAAGCTGTCATGAGTTCAGAGTGCGAGTTGTGGAAGAAATCTATGGATGAGGAGATGAAATCTCTTCATAAAAATGAGACTTGGAATCTGGTTCAGTTACCAAAGGGGAAGAACAATTGGTTGTAAATGGGTGTATGACAAAAAGATGGAATCTTTGGGAAAAGACAATGTAAGATTCAAAGCCAGATTGGTAGCTAAAGGCTACGCTCAGAAGGAAGGCATTGACTACAATGAGGTATTTTCTCCTGTAGTAAAACATTCTTCTATTCGTATTTTGTTGGCTTTGGTTGTGCAGTTTGACCTTGAGTTGGCCCAACTTGATGTCAAGACTGCGTTCTTACATGGTGATTTGGAGGAAGAGATTTATATGTCTCAGCCAGAAGGTTTTAAGGTTGCTGGAAAGGAAAATTGGGTTTGCAAATTGGAAAAATCATTGTATGGCTTGAAGCAGTCTCCAAGACAATGGTACAAGCGATTTGATCGATTTATGATCGGGCAAAAGTACACAAGAAGTCACTATGACCATTGTGTATACTTTCGCAACTACAAGATGGAACCTTCATTTATCTGCTTTTATATGTTGATGATGTGCTTATAGCATGTAAGAGCCAAGTGGAGATTGAAAGATTGAAGACTCAACTAAGTAATGAATTTGAGATGAAGGACTTGGGAGAAGCTCGGAAGATACTAGGTATGGAAATTGAAAGAGATAGAGCGAAGGGCAAGATTAGTCTGTGTCAGAAGCAATATTTGAAGAAGGTACTACAACGTTTCAGGATGAATGAAAATTCAAAACCGGTTAGTACACCTCTTGTCTCTCATTTCAAACTTAGCGCTTCTATGTCTCCTAAAACTGTGAAGAGAGTCAGTACATGGCTCAAATTCCTTATGCAAATGTTGTTGGTAGTTTGATGTATGCTATGGTGTGTACTAGACCTGATATTTCACAAGCTGTTAGTATTGTCAGTAGATATATGCATAATCCAGGAAAAGGGCATTGGCAAGCTGTGAAATGGATTCTACGGTATATTTTGGGTACTGTGGATGTTGGTTTATTGTTCCAGCAGGATAAAGTTATTGGTCAATGTGTTGTTGGATATGTGGATTCTGATTACGCAGGTGATTTGGACAAGCGTAGGTCCACTACTGGTTTTGTATTCACT